ATTCTTAATTTTCTTAAGTCACATATGAATAAACACAATTTCTACATTATACTGCTATCATCCCCCCATTTGTTAACTGCACATAAATAACTGATGTAAAAGAAACAGACGTAGAAACAACTACTGACTCCCCAAAACTTGCCAATTTGTGGTTCACAAATTATATCCAATGGGCAAATCCAGCTTACTTCCTGTTTATTTAAATGAAGTGTTACTGAAACACAATCAGGTTCATTCATTTACCCATTACCTATGGCTGTGCTTGCTCAACAATGGCAGAGTTGAATACTCGTGACAGAAAGCTTATGGCCTGCAAAATCAAAAATATTTACTCCTGGATCTTTACAGAAAAAATCTGCAGACTCTTGCTTTAGATCACCATGAATTTACAGGAAGAGTCACAAAATGTCCTCAGAAAAAACATATCTCCTCAACACCCTGGCCAATTCTCAAAAAAGGAAGGGAAGAAGGAATATTCTTCAATGGAGAATGGAATGTCAAAGAAACAACTTCTCTCTCCATCCTAGCAGCAGACACCAAGAAAGTATCAACACTTCCCCTTAAAACTCACAAAGTTATCACCCCATTACCAGGTTCATAAAAGCAACTGCTTCTGTCACAACCTTCATACCTGTCTCAATTCCTAGGAGTATAGAAAGAGAAAAAGAGACCACATGGGCAGCCTAAAAGTTAAGAACTCTAGCTGCACGTGGTAGTGCATATTTGTGAAACCAGCAACTTGGGAGGCTTAGGCAGGAGGACTGCAAGACCAGCCTCAGCAATAATGAGACCTTGTCTCAAATTTTTAAAAAAGGAGGGTGGGGTGGGGCAGTGGGGCTAGGAACTTAGCTCAGTGGTATAGTGCCCCTGGGTTCAATCCCCAGTAGTAAAAAACAAAGCAAAAACAAAAAAACCCAAAACTCTTTCTATATTATGATAATTGTTATTATTTATAAATTTCATAATTTCTTAAATATATATTATCTATTTTAATTCCTTTTTAGCACTTATTCTTTAATTTATGGCTAAAATATTAAAAGGGAACTACTTCTTTGTAGGAAGTAGATCTTATTAAGAAAAGAAACTGGAGGCCGGGGTTGTGGCTCAGCGGTAGAGCGCTCGCCTGGCACGTGCAGGGCTCTGGGTTCAATCTTCAGCACCACATAAAAATAAAAAATAAAGGTATTATATCCAACTACAGCTAAAAACCCAAAATATTTAAAAAAAGAAAAAAGAAAAAAAAACAGGCGTTTCAAGATACATAGGTAATGGGCTTTAGGATTTTTGGGGTTTTATTTCATTATTTTTCTCAGTAGTAGGAACTGAACCCAGGGGCACTTTACCACTGAGCTATATCCCAGTCCTTTTTATTTTTTTATTTTGAGGCAAGGTTTCACTAAGCTGCTGAGGCTGGCCTCAAACTTGTGATCCTCTTGCCTCAGCCTCCCAAGTTGCTAGGATAACAGGTATGCACCACCATGAAGGTTTTCTTTTCTTTCTTTTTTAAATTATTTTTTAAGTTGTTGATAGACCTTTATTTTATTTATTTATATGCGATGCTGAGAATCGAACCTAGTGCCTCACACATGCTAATAAGCAAGTGCGTTATCGCTGAGCCACAGCCCCAGCTCTCCATGAAGGTTTTCTAAAAATCACTTATATGTTCCTTAAAATCACTTACATGTTCCTTAAAGAATAAATAGCCTAAATACTGTCATTTTATCCAATCATTATTTGACATTTACTTTATTCAACACTTTATCCTAAAGACTATTGTAAATTGATTTTATTTTTCTGGATCCTTTCAGATAATTCAAAATCATCTTTCATAATAAAATGGTTATTGCTTAATCCACTATTTCCTCATTTATCATATAATGAAATTGATCTCATCTCTCAATTTACAAATAACCATCTCTAAATAATCTTGGTTGGTATTATCCCTCTAGGAGCACAGCATCCTAGACTGTACAAAATATGTCTTTCTCCCACTGACGATGTTTTCAGCTGCTGAGATTTCAATGAGCATTTAGGTTCTAAGTGAACCACAGGGTCAGTGGGGCTTGGCCCACAAGTGAAAGAAAAGACTGGAATCACCGGTTGCCATCTTGTTTGCATCTACACAGGAAGAGAAGAAAGGGTTCTAGCTTATTTGGCTCCCAAAAGAAAAGAAACCTGTGTGCTCTCAACATATATTTATCACAGTTTTGTCTCCCTTACTAAGATCATAAGCTCCTTTGAGCACACCTGTAATCCTAGCAGCTTGGGAGGCTGAGGCAGGAGGATTTTGAGTTCAAAGCCAGACTCAGCAAATTAGCGAGGCCCTAAGCAACTCAGGGATATCCTGTCTCTAAATAAAATATAAAAAAAGGCTGGGGACGTGACTGAGTGGGTAAGTGCCCCTGGGTTCAATCCCCAGTACCAAAAAAATTTTTTAAAAGAAACAGAACAAGAAAGTGTTAACCAAGATAAAACTAGAGGAGAAAGGTAGAGGTCAGACCATGTAAGGTTTGAGATCATGGTAAAGAGTTTGGTCTTCCCAATGGTACAGAATAGAGGACACAGAGACAAATCCACAAAATTAAAACTACCTTATATTAGACAAAGGTGCTAAAAGCATGCAATGGAGAAAGGATAGCATCTTCAACAAATGGTGCTGGGAGAACTGGAAATCCATACGCAAAAAAAATGAAATTGAATCCCTTTCTCTCACCATGCACAAACGTCAACTCAAAATGGATCAAGGAGCTAGGAATCAAATCAGAGACTCTGTGTCTAATAGAAGATAAAGTTGGCCCTAATCTTCATCACGTGGGGGCAGGCCCCAAATTCCTTAATAAGACACCTATAGCACAGGAGTTAAAACCAAGAATCAACAAATGGGATGAATTCAAACTAAAAAGTTTTTTTTCTCAGCAAGAGAAATAATTTGGGGGCTGGGGATATGGCTCAAGCGGCAGTGCGCTCGCCTGGCGTTGAGTGCGGCCCGGGGTTCGATCCTCAGCACCACATACAAACAAAGATGTTGTGTCCGCCAAAAACTGAAAAATAAATATTAAAAATTCTCTCTCTCTCTCTCTCTCTCCCTCCTCCCTCTCTCTTTAAAAAAAAAAAAGAAGAAATAATGTG